AAAGAGGCCCGGAAGCTGAGAAGGCCTCGGATAAAGGCAAAACCATCCTAAACCAGCTGCAAGGCGCCATAAGGATCCTACGGCTTCCTTGAAGGTTTCGTCAAGTGTTTGGGGTTGCTTAGACAGCCCAAGGCGCCTCCGGCGGCTGACTTTGGCCATGCCTGCCAGAGCGAAGAGCTACCAGAAGAGACGCTTCGGAAACCGTCTTTTGCCTCTTGCGCGAGTAGAAGGCTCCTGAGACGAGAAAGACTGAGACTCTCACACGCAAGAAAAAAGGCGGCGAAGCGAAGGCGGCAGCCTTGGGACGCTAGAGCTAGTGCTGGTCTTCGGTCTGCCAGGGCCAGGGCCTGGCGACGCAGTTTCTGAAGTGATGCAAAGGAAATCCCCTCGCTCCGCAGGCTCCGCCTGCCGCGCTGCTTCGCGCGGTGGGGGGCCCTGCTGAGCTGCGGGGCCCCGCAGAACAAGAAGAGGAGCACATTCCAGAGAGGCACGGGTTTGTTTTGGGACCGCGGCGTGGAGTTCGTGAGGTGATGGCTGACATTGGCCGCTGCACCTCGTGGAACAGGCAGAGCTCCTCGGGAAACCTTCAATGACTGCCGTGCTCTCCGGCATGGCCTCGCGTTGAGGATCATGTGGTGCACGTGGAGTTGTTGTGGTTGCTGTGGCGCCTCGAGAGGCCGAGAGCGAGACACAGAAGCTCCAAGCACTGGCAGCTTCAAGCAAGCGGCGAGGGGTGCGAGTGGACACGGCAGCCGACGATGGCCGCCGACGCACCTGGTGTCGCGGCTCTATTGATCCGGATCCTACCCAAGGTGCAGGCAGACCTGAACTCCGACAGGACTCGTCGCAAGTTTGCAGAGGTGACTCCCAAAAAGGATCAGGGCATATCCGCAGCACGGATCATCGGACGGAAGACTTCATGGGAGTAAGGCTTGGCATGTCGAAAGGTCCGGGCTTCATCTGCTGAAGGCCGAGCGGTCCGAGGTGTCAAGGGCCCTGGCCACTCGAGAGGATGATTGCAGAGAAAACCAAAGCAATTGCAGCGGAAGATCGGCCAAAAGGATGTCTCCCCCCTCTCTCTCGCTCTGCTGCTCTGCTCTCTCTGCCCTTGTGAGGGTGCGGCTAAGGGGAGTTGTCTTCGTCGGCCGCGACGCCTCGGAGACCGTCGAGCAACATGGCTCGGACTGCTGTCTTTGTCATCACAGCAGTCGATCTTCAGCACTGCATCTACTAAATTCACTATCCAAAAAGAAGCAGACCACTCGTATGAGGTTCCAGCATCACCGATGGCTCGTGCACTCCGAGGAGTTGTCGGCCCTTGAACAATGGGTTTTAAGGTTTGTGGTTCTTCTACCTTCTGCCCATGGCAACTTCTTGAACATCCCAGGTTCTCGGTGTGCATTCAATTCCACACTACAATGCATGAAGCACTTGCGCAGCCAGCATTGCGTGCTCTCCCGGAAAAGTACTTTGGTGCACACGGCATGCTCGCAGAAACAAGTATCTATGCACTACTCTGTGTCACAGGCATATATATATATATATATATTTTATTTATTTATTTACACACATACATACATGCATACATACATACATGAATGCATGTACACATACATAACATACACACATACACATGCGCACGTCCACACATATACCCTTGCACAATGTGCAATTGTATGCCAGTCTGCGGATACTCATGCTTATTACGCACATGCACACATGCATGCATCTGCACATGCATCTGCATGCACAGATGGCACAAATGCATGCAGACACAAACAGTTATGTACATGACGATGTGTTTCCATAAAACACATACACACATCTGCAGACAGATATATATATATATATATATATATATGGTCAGGCGTCTGGCGTTCCCAGCCCCCCCCCCCCCCAATGGTATGGTCTGATAGGGGTGGGGGGGGGGGAGCTGGCGTGCGCGGAAAAGGGTTGGGGGCCGTTGGAGCTGCCACCGGATGGTGGAGTCGTGCTGGCGGCCAGTGCTCACGCGCAAGCCCTTCGCAAGCAAGCCGTAAACCCTATACGCAGCGCGTGCCTCTGTTTCCAGCAACCTTAACTTGTACTTAAAACGCTACACCCAACCCTAAACCCCACCTAACTGCAGGCTCTAAGCCTAAAGCAGAGCATACACCGCAAATCCTCCTTAAGCCCTTGTCGACTCGAAGCCTTATACCTTGTAACCGTAAACCCAAAACTCAAAAGCTTAAGCTAAACCCTAAACCCCAAAACCCCACAACCACCCCACAGGGGGAAGAGGAACCCCACACCCCACACCACAGGGGAGGGGAGGCCCCACCCTATATTCGGACCATTGACCTTTGGGGGGGGAGGGGGGGGTCTGCGGAGAGCGTGACTATATATATATATATATATATATATATATATATATATATATATATGACGCCCCCCCCACCCCGCCCCCATCCACCCGAACCTGCTTCTTGCAAAAACAGGGATCATGGGAGGTGGGCAACCTCGGATGCGAAAACATCGCCAGGCACCAATTTCCCCAAAGTTTGCAAAGCTGGAAGTGCGAAAACATCGACAGGCACCAATTTCCCCAAAATCCCAAACTCTGAGCAACTATGGCCCGGCACGCCTCATAGATGCAGGGATTTTGGGGAATTGGAGCCTGGCGATGTTTTGGCACTTCCAGCTTCACAAACTTTGGGGAAATTCGAGCCTGGCGATGTTTTGGCAACTTGGGATGCGAAAACACTGCCGGGCTCGAATTCAAGATTCCTGAAACCTGAAATTGCAAAAGTCATAGAAGAACAGCCGTACTAGTGTAATCATACATCAGCCTTCAATTTTCAGTTGACAATCCGCAAACCGCTCCCCAAACAACCGCCATAACAAGCAATGGTGGGACGCAGGCTGTTTTACACACATTGGTCGTCAGGTCGCACCTCCTGCTAATCAACAGGTTATCTGTCGAAAACTCAGGAGGGCAAGATTACACCCGGTGTGGGCGGGCGGGAAATAAATTCGGTGTGATCTTGACCCAAAATGGCCACGATCAACCACTCAGTGGAAATTCCCTCCAACCACGCTAGCGGATTGTCACTACAACAAACGCGCGCTAATGTTTGCCACGACAATCCGCAAACCGCTCCCCAAACAACCGCCATAACAAGCAATGGTGGGACGCAGGCTGTTTTACACACATTGGTCGTCAGGTCGCACCTCCTGCTAATCAACAGGTTATCTGTCGAAAACTCAGGAGGGCAAGATTACACCCACCTGACCTGATGTAGACCGAACGTTGTTTGTCCCACCTGCTGTTAGCGTGTTAGGTTTGCGTCGGGTACATATATATAAGTCGATAATCGATAGCCTGATGCCCGAAGGCCAAAGGCAGGGCCCAAAGGGATCCCTAGAAACTTAGGCCGGGAACAAGTTAACCCGAAGTTTGACCGCAAAGGAAGGCTAAGCAGAGACTGCTGGCCTTCTCGACGAAAGCCGCCCGGAGGGCAGGGCCCGTCGAAGGTTCCTGATTACAGGGGGCTGGCTTGAGGGAAGTGGCAACGGGAAGGGAAGGCAAAAGCGCCGCACTTTTTTTTCACACGACCTTCCAAAAGGCCTCGGAGAGGTCCACCGTTCTAGCCGGCCCGTGCTCCAGTTCTGGAGGAAAGTGCTTCGGCTCGGGAGAAAACAGGCGTGACAAAGCATCAGCCTGGATATTGCTGATGCCCGGTATGTGAGTGAGGCCCCGGACCTGGTACGACCGAAGGGCGACATCGAGAGAAAACTCTCGGGCCAGCACGTTCAAAGAAGCTGACTTTGCGCTTCCGCGAGCGAGTGCTCGCAAGAAGCCGAGGTTGTCCGACTTCGCCCTGTACACCGATCCGAAGGAAAGGTTCGGAAGCCAGAGGCGGAACGCCACCAAGAGGGCGACTCCTTCCCAGAGGGTGTTGAAACGCCCCTTTCGGCGGAGAATTTCTTGAGGAGCACGTCCGGGAGGTAGGAGTAAAGGATCTCGGTGGGTTCGCCGCCCACCCTCATGACTCCGCCAATGCCCCACGGGCTGGCGTCGGTCACGATCTCGACGTCGGAGAAGGCGGGCTTCGCGAAGAAAATTCGTTGCAGGACGTTGCCCACCAAAAGCGCTCGAATCCACTTGAGGCCCGGAGCAACCCTCTTTGTGTGGATGGCTTTCCGCGAGGGGCGGCCATCATTAGCCAAACCACACGTAGAGAGCGCTGACCAGAAGGTGGACAGGAAGGGCCGAAGGTGGGGCACCAGCCCCGCAATGAACGACATGCTGCCGGCATAGGACCGCAGCTCTCTGGAGCCTATCACCGGGCGGCTCAACAACTTGTTGGTGTCGGCGAGGAGCTGCTCGACCTTGTGCTCGGGGATGGTGACGGTGACCGACTCCGCTTCATCGTCGCACTCGATCTTGGCTCCCACCCACTCTATGGACTTGCCCCCGTTGGCCTTGTTGAGCTTCGTCGGGAAGCCCGTGACGGCCACCCAGAGAAGGGTAATGGCCAGGTCACGCGCGGCCGCACCAAGGCCGGGGCCAAACATAACGAAGCCGGGTCATCGACGTAGCATTGTGGGTCGGTGTCCGCGACCGCGGCCGTTGAGCGGCCTAACCAGGCAGCGAATCTGCCCCACACTGTGGGAGAGGACGCCGACCCAAACACCAACGTGTTAAACAACACGATGCCCCACGGGACCGCTGCAGCAGTGTACTTGCGGTCGGGGCCCGCCGGCACGTTCATGAAGGCGTCCTTGATGTCGAGGCCCGCCAAGTAGGGCTTTCCTCCCCGCCTGTAGACCCGGAGGAGGGACGAGACCACGTCGAGGAGCCGCGGCAGGAGGATCCTTTCGCCTTGGCAACACGCCATGTTGACCCGTGACTCCCTCAAGTCCCAGATGACACGTGCCTTACGAACCGGCCGGCCCTGTGCATCGACCTTGTCCTTCACGATCACGCCGAGGCGGTTGAGCACGGGTGGTCCGCCCAGCAAAGCCTCGGCCTCCTCCTCGGTGTCGACCAGGACACAAAAGCCACGGGCCACGTAGTCGTCGAGGAGGTTTCGGAGGGTGCCCTCTTCTGCCACGGCCGAGGGGTAGTTCTTCCATCCTTCCAAGGCGCGCCTGTCGAGCTGCGAGGCCGGCATCTGGCCATCCCGGGGAACCGGGAGGAAGACGCCTGTGGTCGGCACCTCCTGCTCCATACCGAGAGGGGCGCCATGATCCAACCAGTGCGCCAGGAGCGTGGCATCCGGATCATCGGTGGCGTCACCCCAGGCCTCCAGCACCGCTGCCTGAATGGGTGTTGCCGCCGGTGCTGTCCTCTTCCTCTTGCGCGTCCCTTCGGTAGCACCAAGTGCCGTGAGGACGGCCGATCGGACCGATGTGACAGCATCCGGGCTGAGGTCGCCACGAAGGATAGCCACGGCAGGGTCGAGGAGCTCAGGCCAGAGGTCCACGGCCTGTGACAGAAGCCGGCGGATGCCCCTACCAACGACGGCCGACTTTGGGAGCCGAGTCAATGCACGTCTGGGGTTGCGAAGGCCACCGAGCGCCCGCTCGTTCTCGGCCTCCCTCTCGGTCTGCGGGCCCCGAGAGGGAAGGGCCTCGAACTCAGCACCTCAAAGCTCCTCTTTGTCCAAGGCCGCCCTGCGATAACCTTGGAACAAAGCCTCCGCGATGATCTGAGAGAGGTGGGCCGTGTACTCAGCCTGGTCAGCAGAGGCCCAACGCTGTTGCCCTGCCGAGTCGGAGACCTGCTTGCCGGCCACCGACTGGTGCGTGCCACGAGGGTGGTTGCACCGCTGCCCGTGTAGCTTTGCGAAGTCCACGTGGGCGGAGAACAGGAACCGGGTCGGCTTCACGGTCTCCAAGCCGAAGCGGCACTGGTCGAAATCCGCGGTGCCAACACGATCGAGGCCGAGGATGGACCGGAAGGAGGGCATCGCCCACAGACTGGGCTTGCCGGCGCCGGGTGCCCCACATAGTCCGAGCAGCGCTCCACGAGGGTTGGCGGCCCTCACCTGTTCCTTCTCCTTCTTGCCGAGGTCGGGCAGGCCTTCAATGTGGTGCTCGCTTCGTAGAACAGGCGGGGCGGGGCGGACCTCGCGCAATGGCGAAAAGGTGCCGCAAGGAGGGGCCGCCCAGTAGACCAGGTCGCGAAGGATTGCCGAGTGCACCGACTCGTCAAGTAAGTCGGTCGGCTCGGTGGCCCGCTTGTCCAGGGCGCACACAAGGAAGCCATAGTCCGCCAGCCAGCTGGGGAGATCCCCTCGCCGAAGCCGCCCCGAAAACATGACCAGGGCCCAAGGCCGGCCTTTGTACTCGCCGGTGCCCTTGCGGCGCCACTCCGAATACGAACGGTCACCGGGCTTCTCCAACCAGGTGCCATACTTGCGGGGGCCGTTGTCCATGGGCCGGTGGCTGGATGGCGGTATGAGGTGTGCCACCTGGCCGGTCGGGCCCTCGCTGTCCGATGCCTTGTCTGGCCCAGGGCCGGAAGCCGTAGCAGGGCGCCGGGCTCGTGCCTTTGGCGGTGTCCGCGGCCGTTGCCGTCCCAGGTCCCGGGTGGAGTCGTCCGGCTTCTTCCGCTTCAGAGGAGGGGGAGAAGTTGCGGCCTTGGACGCCGCGGTTCTCCGGATGAGCTCGGCTGTGGTCGTCCAGGCGGGCCGCAGCGCCAGACTTGACCTTGGGAGTCGGGGCGAGGTAGTCCTTGGGCCCAGCGGCCTTTCCAGCAGAAGTGGCGGCTTGAGATGCCCCCGCTGAGCCCCCGGTTTCCGAGAGGGCTCTGACGGAGTGGCACCCCCGCCGCCAGCCCCGTCTCAGCGCTTGGGGCAGTCGAGCGCCTGGTGAGGCCCCAAGCAAACATTGCATTGATGCGAGCATCGGTCTTTGCATTTGCTCTGGGGCTTCTTCGATCCACAGCGGTTCTGGTTGTAGTCGGGGCATATGGTGACACCGCGTCTGTTCTTGATGTACACGTTGCCCTCCTTCTCGCTGTGGTCGTCACCAGTGTATTTGCGCTTGGCCTTGCCAGGGCGCGGGTTGTCGTCGTCCACGCGCGGCAGCGGAGGCGGAGCTGTAGGCCGCGAAGGGCCGGCAGGCCCCGAGAGCCAGAGCGTGGCCGGAGTGACCAGCTCCTTGGTCCAGAACTCCATGTCCTTCACCGCCGCCGCGAACGCCGCATTCCAAGGCCTGGCAGCGGTGTACCCAAAGTCGGGTTGATCATGAAGTCGACGGCGCAAACGCTCCAAGTGCTCGGACCTCAAGCGATTTTCCGCCTTGTAGATCAACCACCAGGCGGAGTCCCCAAACTGCGTGAGGAAGCTCCGCACATGCTCGGCGTAGCCGTCGAGGCGCTCCGAGTCGACAACCTCGAGCAGGAGCATGGCCGTTCTGTAGACCTTCCAGGCCTCATACCAGGCATGAAAGGACCCCGGGCCCGGCTGCTCCTTCTTTGTCCACTCACCATGAGGACACGCTGAGGACATACGCAGTGAAGGTTTGCTTGCGCAGCAGCCGAAGACCATGAGGCCCGAACAAGGAGAAGTCGGTGTAAGGGGCCGCTCCTGCCTGAATGACCTGTTTCAAGGCCGAGAGCTGGTCCACCGAGGGGTCGCTCTCATGAGACGGAAAGTCCCCGTACTTCTTCTTGTACTCTGTGTAGAGCGCCTGTGTCTCGGACTGTTCCAGAACCACCACGTCCGCATCCAGAGTAGGGTCCAGGATGGCGGAGAGCTTGAGCTTACGGCCTCCAGCGGCAGGTGGAGAAGGGCCGGCCACCGCCGAAGCCGGGGTAGGAGCCGTGGGCCCAGCAGAGCCGGGGGTGTCGGGCGTAACGCCCATCCTCAAACAGCTCACCCGCCTCACCGACTCAAGTCGTGCCAGTTCCACCAGCGTGGGGTCACGCGCGGGCTGTGGCGCACCATCCGCGTCCAGCGGGATCACCTTCAAGGCCGCGATGGCTGTATCCCAAGCAGGTCGCGGGATGAGGACGACCTCCCGGACCCTCTGCGGTTGGCCCAAGGCCAGCTTGAGGGCAGTGTCCAAAGGGCCTGCCACACCAGCCCAGTTAAGCACGCCGGCGAGGTCCGTGATCGCGTTCAGCTCCGTCTCCGTTGGATCCATTGCTGCCCGGGCTTGCTAAGGCAGGACCCTCGTAGAGAAGCCTTGCCGCGCGAGGTGTTCCAGCTCTCCGGGCAGCGTTCGGTCGGGAACCCGCAGAATTGCGAAGGTCCACCTCCCTGTAGTGGCCGAAGGCCAGCGAGACCCGGCGCCTCCGCCCAAGGAAGAACAAAGCCCGGCGGCTTACCGCAGCCCAGCGGTCCAACGGTCCTTGTTGTAGTGGAGCCCGCCGCCGCGGCAAAGTAGGGGCTGACAAGCAGCAGCCACAAGTGAGGCCCAGCAGCCAGAAGGTGGCAGCAAAGGCCAAGAGGGCGCACTCCCCGAAAGCCGCCTCGGACCAAACCTCCAACGGCCCACCCAGGAGGGTAGGGGCCGTGGAGGAAAGGTCTGCAACGACCACCAGGTCCATGCACAGCCCACCTGTTGCAGACCACACCTAAATAAATTCGGTGTGATCTTGACCCAAAATGGCCACGATCAACCACTCAGTGGAAATTCCCTCCAACCACGCTAGCGGATTGTCACTACAACAAACGCGCGCTAATGTTTGCCACCCCAACTGTGCTCTTGCTTCCTTCGCCGAACAAAGTCATAGCTGTTGCTAAGATCACCCTCGCTCAACAAAAGAAATAGAAGAACAGCTGTGCGCTTTATATTGAAACTTGCCTGTGTTTGTGGATGCTTTAGACCGTCTTATGCGAATGCACATGTTCGCTGAATTGTACATCATAATTAGATACTGTCGAGTTCTTGTTTCTGCATCGAAGTGAGACCTTGCTAACCGTTTCAACTCTTGCCCGTCGCTTGGACAAAGAAGAAGTAGTTCTTGTATTTCATAGTACCTCACAAACTAAAGAAGCTGATGAGCTCCGATATTTCATATCATTACATATCAAGGAAGCTCCCCAATAGTACTGTCCTGCCTTATTACTTTGGGGTTCCCTTATTCAAACTGAATACCAAGGAAAAAATGGTACCATTCAGGCGACACTGGGGAACCTGGTAAATGGGCTTTCAATCGCTTCGATTACTGGCAGTACTAACTCTTCTCTCGTGGAGCAAAATCATAACCGAGTCAAGGTCAACAAAGCTCAAGAGGGAAGTCAAGTGTTTTATTCCTTAAAGCAAAGTGAGAAAAGATGTGTTTCCACCATTTCGCGGAGGCTATGAGAAGAGGTCTGGGGCTGTTTCATGCTTCATTCGAAGATGGCTGGAGCTATATCACTCTTGCGAGTAGCGCGGTGCAACGGAGCTCGATCATGTGTGCTGAGCCAGGATCGTTTTGCATCTAAGTGTGTCCAGAAGAATAACGAATGCTTTCCGGACACATGCTTGCCATAAATCCCACGAAGTATAAAGCATAAGCAGCTCGGCATACTCTTTGCTTGTGACCGAATGTATTCGGAGTTTGGTGTGGGAGACCACTTCTTTCCGTAAACACTCCGATTTTGTGGTATGGGTATACCATAAAAGCTTAAGGCCTAAGGTGGCTTATTGTGTTTCTTTGTGCTAAAACAAGATTTCTAATGACAACACCACCTGATAAAGGACAACCATGCTTCCCTTGTCTGTTGGAATTTTGAAGACATGAAGTTGTCCTAGGTTCCCTTGCAGCATGAAGATACACGGAGGTTCCTTTCCATGTCTGATGGGCAACACCTCTGTTTAGTGTGGTTACACTGTTGCTAGTAAGCCAAACATACCACTGGCATGTTTGCTTTCACTGAAGGAGTTGTCCTTACCCCTTATGTTATGAAGAGAACAGCAGCTGTCTCTATTCAAACTGTACATCTTAAGTAGTTCGACAAACTCCAAATTCCAGAACCGGAATCTGGTTTCGGTTTCGGCTTGCTTACCTATGATGTAAAGGAATAAAAAAGTCAAGTAGACATGTACATGAAGTGCAGATCACACCGTAAATACCGATAGATTCGGACTCTAGGATTAAGCATCTTGGGCAAGAAGACTGCACAGGAGTATTGACAAGAAGGCTGGGGTGGGTCATGGGGGTGTGTGTGACAATATATGTATATATATATATATGTACATACATATGGTCACACCCCCACCCCCCCAAGATCCAATACAAGTACACTTACACTTGCCCATCACCGCATAGGATATTCATCTGATCGACATGTACACAAGTGTGCGTCTATACATAGACGAAACTTATGCATGGCAGCGCATGTATCAGCCCATGTTCAAGGTTGGATGTCTCACACATCAAACACGAGAATGCATATCACCCCAATTTGAACCGTTTACGGCGGAAATGCACCGGTATTCGCCTTAGAGACGCCAAAAAAATGGGTTGAGGAAGTACATGAAAAGAAACTGGTAGATGGGCTGCGCACGCCGGCAAGTCTTGCAGTCACTCCTACACAAGCTACAGATCATGTACAAGCTGCGTCTACGGTTCCGAAATGGACACAAGCTGTCTGCATTCAGCGGGCAATGCGATGTGGTCACGTCACTTGCAATGGCAGAACCCCCCGGTAAGTGAGACTGGCAACCATTGAAATCAGAGCAGACATCGGTATCGATGCATGTGTGAAGTGTCCATCTGCATATATTGGCATGTATACATATGTATATGTACATGGCACCCCGCACTGAAACCTCGCTTTGTTTTTATATTCATACGCATACCTATGCATGCGATAAGACATGCCAACACATGTACAGCGAGAGGGAGACAGAGCGAGAGAGAGACAGGCAACAGCATGCATACGGCAGGCTACTCAAGCCACCAGTAACACTTCGTATCCTGGTGCAAGGAGGCTTGGGCCGCAGCGAGCTGACAGGGATGCAGTGGTGGCTGCTGAAGATGGCGTGGCCGATGGTGGCCTGGCCTGGACTCAAAAGGCTCAACGACGTGATACTCAGTACCGCGCTTGCTCGGGCCATAAAATCTGTCAGCGCTGTATGCCGCTGCCAAAAACGCACTGTAATATGCTGCACCAGATGTGCGTTGTACAAGTAGGTACAGACATGAGGACACCAACTGGTTGGTCTTCCACCAACACAGTAATGCTGGTCGAGCATATGTACGTCCTTGCATATGTCGACACTCACGCGCGAATATGTAAATCACTGCAGCTGTAGACCTGCGAAAAGACACAGAGGCTCACAGCCAGACCTGACAAACACCCGTAATCATACTACAGGCATGCTCATTCATGCAGAAGCTTGTGCATATGCACAGAAGCAGACTTGCATGGCCGTGTCACAACAAGAAGTGCCGGGGTCTGCACATCGCCAGCGAGAGCTTGGTGAGCGGCAGCAGGTGTGGTGGGCCCTTGGTCGTCCCAACTGTATCGCTGCAGATGCTCGTCGGGGTGGAAAGAATCTAAAGAACCTAACAAAAGCAACATAGCATCGGCAGCCGGCCACTGTAAGCCCTGAGACGCTGAGCCGTCTTTGAGTCCCTTCCGACAGATCGGACAGATAAACGATAGTACTAGCTGATTACTTCAGTGCTCACTGAGCAGTGATCCAGAGTATGTTCAGATCTCAGCCCTCCGCGAGCGGGTTTCAACGGCACAGGTCTCTGTCGCACCTTGGCGGGCTCTCGAAAATTCGAAGCACCTTCCGCAGCCACCACCCAGCGCGGGGCAAAGATCGCGTCGGAAGACGAATCTGAAGACCTGCACATCGGCTGCTTGGAAATTCTGCGCCTCCCGAAACCTTCACATCGAATCAGTGTCTTTTGACTACATTCCATCAGCAGTGCAATGCACAAAACGAATCTGCGATCCCACGTTGCCCAGGCACCGGCTGGGCGAGCGCGGCGGCGGGGGCGGTGGCACCGAGTGCCGGAGTTCCGTGCGGTGGCTAACCCAGTCGTGACCGCACCTTTCGGGGCCCATCGAATTTCAACTCTGTCCGACTTTGGGTTACGAACATAATGGCGCAATGCTCTGGCTTTGACTTTAAGATTCACCCCATCTCTATTTTCTATCCTGGGCCTCCGTGCCATAAAGGGCCATAGTGCATGAATGCTAAATGCTCATGACGCAGCATTGGAGTGCATCACATCATCGCATACCGCTCAATGAAGCAAACCCTGATGCGCTGGAGGTCGCAAGTTGTGCCGCACTGTGCTTGTGCTACGCCGTCCTTCTGCACGTCAGTATGCCACAGATTGCTGCACGATTTTGCAGTGATTTCTGGCAGTGTTGCTTGCAATCTACTGTTGCCACAGCCTTGTGCCCTTAATGCGTTCTATCTGAACCCTGGACCGCGAAGCCATCGAACACGAGGCAGCCACTATACATCTGCCAAGGGCTTCCGGAGCTTGCGACAGTCACGACTTGTGAACCACGTACAAGGTTCTGAACTGTGACAAGCTGCCGACCCTAAACTCTGCAGTGCTCGGGACAAGCTGGCATGGGGCATGTGGAAGCCATCTGTGTGGTGGATCAAGCTTGGGTGTTGGCTTGCTCAGTTTCATCGAGAATCTCCACCGCTTCGTGGCTTAGAGGCCGAATCTTGAGAAACCGGTCCACGACCTGCAACATAACCTACATCACGCTTTGGTCTGCTTCCATTTCCAGGAGCGACATCATCCCTCAGCCGCGTCTTCAGTTTATCCAGCCCGGTGGCAAGTTGCTGCTCAAGACGAACATTTGGTGTCGCTCCGTTGCATCTCAAATTGCTCTGAAGTCACTTCGGTCTGCTCGGACATGCAACATGTCAGTTGTCATTTCTCGCTTCTTCTCATGTCGTCCCCTCATTTCTGTGTCCTTGCTCGTGCTCGAAGCACTCACCCTCTAACCTCCGGCTGATGCGCAGCTGGCACACAGTACATTACACGGCCCGCATTTCTTCCTAAGCAGTGCTAATTTTGGGGCTGAAGCAGGGATTTAGGTCTTATGGCTCTTATGCACCCTGCAAGTGAGCTTCGCCTTAGGCCACGCAACCCATCTAGCGGCGACTGCCACTGCCACGACCAGCACAATGCTACTATTTAAAGCAGCGACGATCAGTACGAAGACAAGAACCAAGCGTGTGCTTCCCCGTGTGCTTCCGCGTCTGCATAATTTCTGCATTTCTTTCCCATGGCATTGGAAACCTTTGATTTCTATGTTTGATTTGGTGTGTTTGTTCTCCGGGAGTTGCAGTTTGCTGTCTTTGTTTCACGACAACAACAACCAAAACAATCACAACACCAATACCAACAACAACAACAACAGCAGAAGCAGCAACAACAACAACAACTCCAACAACAACGACGGCAGCAGCAGCAGCAGCAAAAGCAGCAGTAGCAGCAGCAGCAGCAGCAGCGGTGACAGCAACACCAACAACAACAACAGCAACAGCAACAGCAGCAGCAGCAGCAGCAGCAGCAGCAGCAAAAGCACCAGCAACAGCAACAACTGCAACAACCACAACCACAACCACAACAGCCACAACAGCCGCAACAGTCACAACAGCCACAACCACAACAACCAGAACCACAACCCCAACCCCAACGACAACAACACCAACACAACAATTACAAAAACAAGCAATACAAAACACCGCCAACACAGCACCAGCACCAGCACCAACACCGCCACCACCAACCACAACAACAACAACAACAACAACAACAACAACAACAACAACAACAACAACAACAACAACAACAACAACAACAACAACAACAACAACAACCACCGCAACCCTGTCATCATCGTCGTCAAGTCATCCGAGTAATTTCGCGAGCATCCCTGCGGAAATGGCAACCCCCAAGCCTTTCCCTCTCCAAGGCACACGCGGCAGGTGCCGGGGTCGTGGAAAGTTTGGCAGGGGCAGCCGTCCACTTTGCAGGCGAAGAAGCCCGTGGGGCTGTGCTCCAGATTGCTGTGTCCACCTGTGCCCGACGAGATTTTGGAGTGCAGCGGATGATTGTCTCAGAACCTGAATCGCCCAAGACTCTCTGCAGCTGGGGCATGGGCAGTTGCAGCGCGAATGGGGCTGCACGTATGTAAACTTGGCGCAGGGGCAGCGCTGACCTTATGCACCCCTTCTGCCAGACAACACACAAAGGGGTTTACGAGGCCACGTTATCCCGAAACAAGACACCGCGATCACAGCTCTTCTTGCTCCCTCCGGTTTCATGTAGACATGCGAACCTGCGAATGCAGGACGCGAGCACTGATTGCTTGCTTTGGTTCTAGAGTCTATAGCAGTGAGCCCAAATCCCTCGGCTTGCGCAGCCCGCCATACCCCACCTCCCTCGCCAAAACTTGACAAGGCATGCCGACATGGACTCACCATACGGTCGCAGGGGGGGCTCAAAGTGACCAAGACGAATGCACAGGCTCTGCAGGGTGCAAGGCTGGGCTTTTGCTATGCTGGTTGCAGCAGTAGGGGCACTTCTCCCAACCATCTGCCGAAGGAGTCCCAGCATGCCGATGATCTGAAAGTGAATGTCCACAGAAGCAGACCTTGGCGCCCGTTTCGCCCTGAGATGCCCTAGGCCCTACGAGCCCAAGAAATCCACGGTCCCATTCGGTGCTCTTCGGCCGAGGCGAGCCGAGGTGCTGTTTGCGGATTCGGTTGGATGCATGGCCGCATCCGATCTTTCTTGGCACCTCGGACGAGCGATGAAGAGAGCGAGCGAGAGAGAGAGAGAGAGAGAGAGAGAGAGAGAGAGAGAGAGAGATAGATGATAGGAGGGGAGTCGGCGGTGGCCTCAAGGACCTGTCCGGGACCCGCACCCGGCGAGTAGCCACCAAGGCAGTCGACTTCACAAACATGGCAGGCCCAAACCACGACACGTGGTGGCTGCTGCGGCTTCACCGGCACCACTCCTTTGGGGGCTGTGAGCGGCAGGATCTGGCTTCCAGTTGCAAACCAGAAACCCGAAACGAACAGCTATGCAGATACGTACGTACTACAGACTTTGATACCGCCTTCATGCTCCACACACCAAGCGAAGCTTACCAGCTCTCTCCGTCTCTCTCATACACAGTTGTAGAAATGTTGCTATATGGACCTGTAGAGGCCAGATTTTGAGGTGGAGGTGGTCTCCCGTTCTGTGTGCCGGCATACGATACGGTACAAACGGGCAAGACACTGCCTTGCATCAGACCATACCCTGAACCTTCTGGAATTGCGCCTTCAACTGCCTCCCAAATCACGGTTGTCGTAAATTACGGTTACATCCAATGCTTATTAAATGGCTACAGTGCCATACAGTTTCCGGATCGCGGCGGGCCCGAAATAGGAGTCTTGAGTCTTGTGAGCAGCGAGTTCATCCAGGAGGCGTTCGACGCGGACCGGACCCGGCTTGCACCACCGCGCTCTTCGGCGCTGGGCGGCAGAGAGAAGCCCGCCGAGGGAGAGGGGAGCCTCGAAAAGGACTCTTCTTGACTTCGGGCTTTCGGACCTTTCGGACTCGGCTCGAATCAATGCAGGCCTTAACGTCTTAAGGCGTGAGTGGGGGCAAGTCCAGCAGTAACAGGATCCCTCTCCGAATTCATACGTAGATCCAAGTGCCCGAGGATTCTGTCTGCTCGGGGTATGGTTCCCTGGCGGCCCCAGCCTTTCCCAGCTTCTCCAACAAATAGTCTTTCGCAGAGGCAATGTCTCTGAACCGTTCTTCCGACTCCTGATGCAGGTGCAAAGCTTCTTGGGCTGCTTCCCGCACCATGGCGAACATCTGCACATGTTGAGACTGAGGCAATGTCAGTTGTCAGCGCATGGCAAAAAGCACCAAACCGTACGGTCTGCGGATGCGGCATCGGACTGCCCCGACCAGCCTCTGCATTCTGCTCCGGGTTCTTGTCCTTATTCACTGCCCGATTCTTCTACTCACGCCCTTTCAAACGCTTGTCGTGTCTTGTCGTGGCTGCGAAAAGGCCTGGGCGAAAACGGGTATGCACTATATGCTGCCAAAGCAAAAACCCTTCTTCACCACCCGAGGGTCTGGGTGGCACAGGAGGGCAAGGCGTCGGTAAGCCCGTCGTACGTCGGCCGCACTGCATCCTGTCTTGAAGCAAACCCGCCACAACAGCAGATGGATGCAGATGGTCTTTCTTCCAGACCAAGGTCATACTGCTACGGGGGTACCATTGACTGTATACATTACATATACAGAAGGCGTCACCCTCAGGGCCCGGTTTTGTCGTATTCGCAAAAAGCCGAAATTTAAGTGCTGTCGAAGAACATTATCACAATTAAAATGAACGGCCCCGTATATATATATATATGTATATGTATATATATATATATATGTATATATATATATATATATATATATATGCTCACCCCCCCCCCCAAGATCCACGCCTGCCCTGCCCAAATATATATATATATATATATATATATATACATATATATATATATATATATGCTACCCCCCAGGACCCACCTCGAAGCCTCTTCTTGTATTGTCTAGACGACGTTACGACTCCACTCCGAACAAAACTGTTATATACTGTTGCCCAAAAGCTGCAATCCAACTGGAAATTCTCAGATCTTGGGCTCCGGCTGGCTTTCCATATTTAAAGTCCGTATCTATAAGGTACTTTTTAAAGTTTTCTATAAAGGATTCTATAGGGTATCCTAAATGGTACCGTATATGTATTCTATATGGCATACATAAGGTATACAGGATGTATCAAATATAAGCGTTCTTCTTCAAAGTATGCTACAGTGTATTACAGATGGTATTCTATAAGGTGTATGTAGGGTAAATCGGTGGAGTATTACAGATGGTATTCTATAAGGTGTATGTAGGGTAAATCGGTGGAATTGTATAAAAACATGCTATCAGGTAGTTTAAAAGTTGCATTCTATAGGGTATGTGCAGCATGTGCTTCAAAAGAGCTTTGTTCTGTGTATGTATCCTTTGCCAAATAAGCATCGATTGTTCAAGGAATTTCTAGATCCTATATTCCGCAATTCCTTGATATGAATCCCTTGCCAAATAAACCACTTTCAACTGGGGAACTCTCAGATCTTGGGTGTACAAGGTATATAGGGAATATAGAATATTGTATAAGGTATTATCGTATTCTACATGAGTTTATTTACCGTTTGTAGAACGGGTATTCTGTAAGGTATTCTACAGGCTGTTCTCCTTTATTCCTCATTTCTTTCATAGATGTCCTTTGCCCAATGCGTGGGGGATTGTTCTCGACTAGGTTGCTGCTCTCCCCACCAGAGCTGTAATGAATGTAGGTGTGGCTGGCTTGCACTCTCCACAGACTGGACCCTGTCTCTCTTACACTTCCACGCGTGCAATCCTATGCAGGCAGAACCGGCGGCCGTTCCTTTTGCACTCACTGCCGGCGGCGGTTCGTCTGTGCAACGGGATAGCTCTGATTGCTCAGGATAGAAGACACATATAGCACTTAGCTATGGGCATTGACTTGAGCCAAACGTTGCGTGGGCGGTCACATAGAAAGGTAAAGATGAGGGACGCGTAGCGTGCCCCCTTAGAGTCGAGGGACGCGTAGCGTGCCCCCTTCTCTTGCACTTTACACGGTCTTGCTCACAGCTCTTATAGTGACACCTTAGAACTTGACAAGGCATCGCAGTCCGTTCGCACCCCCCATGAGTTGCGTCTCCGACGCTGCTCACCCGGAAGATGGCACGATAGGACAACAGAAAATGTTCCGCCGCAACGTTGACATTGAAAATCAGAGCTTTGCATCCCAATTAGAAACGTTGTGACACTCATCTACGTCAGTAACGATCCCCTGAAATGGCAAACGAATCAGGCGTCACCGAAGAAAGAAGCATTCGCGATGGCATTCCATGGGCGAAGCTCAGAGGTCACGAACTGATAGGCGAGGAAGACCAAGCGTTGATTCATCTCCATCTTCGCGTGGTCGCAGGATCGCGGTCCCAGGGCCGGAGGTTTTCCTCTGGATACTGTTCCCTTTGCTTTCCTTTGTCCTTGCCTTTGTTTCGGCCTTTGCCGGCGGTGTAGTCATAGTAGGTGTTGGCGTTCCAGCCTCCATGCTGTTCACCTCCGGCTCTCTCACGCCCCTTTGAAGGTCCCTTGGCCGAAGAAGCGCTTGCACGTTCCTCCGTAGTGACAGGCGTGTCCAGGATGGAAGTACCACCTGGAGGGAGATAGTCAGCGGCCGAAATGTGGTGTAGGGCTTCAGTACGCTTGGTCGTCGGGTTTTGCTGTCTCTCAGCCTTGGATCGATTCAATCTGTCCATGAAATGCGCAGGCATTTGCACATTGTGGTCCACCAGCAATCCGATGGTCTGAACTGAATGATCGGAATGAGTCAGCAAGATACCGACGGGGTCGATGTACAAGAAGTCCACCGGTCCAGTTGGTGTTGGTCGTAGCACCGAGAATTGTTGGTGTCCCGTCACCATCGGAATCACCTCGCACAGGACGTTCAGGCAACAAAAGTGCATAGCCTTCACATCTTCATCCCTGTCGCTCTTCAAGTAAGTAGTAGGGTTGAAGTTGTCCCTGCCAATTCCCATCATGTTGGCTCCCCGTGTAAGCAACGAAAGCATCTGGTTCGTCCGGAAGCGCTTCAAGGTGTAAGTCCCGTTGGGATCATACTGCTTGAGGTTCTCAGGCTCCTTGGCAAAGCGAATGATCTCCTCATCAGTCACATCCTTGCTCACACCCGTTTCCCTATCCACTGCCGCCAAAGATCCCCACTTTCCGAGCACATCATAGCGTTGGCCAAGTGCGAAATTCTCCTTCATCTGGAACAACGGCATAGTCGCCCACTTTGCGAACCCTGACCAAGCTTTGTAGATGGATCTGCATACCACGTATGCCATATACGAAAGAGCGGCCATGTTGGCGTCAATGCAATGGGCATTTCGCTTTCCAGAATAGTAGGATGGCTGCATGGCGGTACGTGCAAGTTGTAGCTCAGGATCGATGTTCAAAGACTGGCCGGTAATGAAGACGGGACGACGTTCCTGTGCAACTGCATCTGGTACTGCGTCATCAAAGTCCTCTCCTGGCTCTATGTCCATTTCTTCATCAGGTTCCTGTTCTGGATCGTCCTCTGCGATGACAGATGGTTCTGGGATTTCCTCAGGTTCCGCAACGGTCTCTACCTCCATGGCTTCCTGCTCCTCTTCGGGCGCCTCAGGCACTGCTGCTGCTGCGGCTTCCATTGTCTGAGCGATGAAGTCACTGGGGATCTCCGTAGGAGTCTCCCGTTGTGGAGAACCTTGGTAATATCCGCTCGAAACGAACTGTGACCAGCAAGACGTGCATCGGGAGAAACATGCTGGAACGATGTTGTAGCATGCCGGGCACACCCTCATTCTCCTTCCATCCTCGTCTCTGCGTAGGTCTTCGGGTCGCCAATTCTTGATGACAAACTTGATCCCTTTGTCCATGTAATGATGCCGAACCGTGTTCTCCCTGTGGGACTCCAGGACAGTCGTGAGGTCTCGAATGATCTGCTCCTTGCTGGTGTCGTGGGGTCCAGGAGGCATTTCGCAAAGCAATTCCATGATCTTGCTCGGCGTTCGGTATCTCTCGAACTCAGGGAGCAATGGTGATGCATTGTAGTCCAACACCAGCTCTTTCTCCAATCGTTCATCGTAGATCTTTTCCACCAGAGCGAAAGAGTGTGTATCTTGAGGATCCGGGACGCAAAACCATACCTCCTTGACGAAATGGAACGGTATCGTCCGGCCAACGATCATGATGCCGCTGTCTGTGATACGTCCATCTTCTCGTGCAAGGTCCTGCGATGGGACATGGAGGACCGCCAATGGCATGTGCTTGGCATCTCGTCCATGCACCCGCATC